CCCGGCTCTTGCCCCCCGCCGCCCCCTCCAGGGATGGGTAGAGGGCTCGGACTCTGGTCCTGAGAAGAGGGTAAAGGGTTCAGAAGGGCAGCCTCGGAGGTTCATGGCACTCCCCAGGCCCCACCTGATGATGCCTCAAATCTCTCCCATCACAGATGCCATTTCCCTGTTGTCTGTAGTTACTTAGGTCTTGGGCCCTCCCACCCTCACCCATCAAAACGCCCAGGCGGAGAACCACCAGGCCCCTAGGCTCTCAATGGCCCACTACACAGGGCCGGTGGAGACCTTGTAATCAGGGGAGGGAAAGCTCAGATAGCAACAGGCCCCTTCTCTGGGAGAGAAGGGGTTGGGAGTGTCCCTTTGACCCAGAAAAGACTCAGATGTTCCCCCAGGATCCTGGGGACACGGTTTGGGGGCCCTTCCATGTTTCCAGGCATCTGCAGGCAGGCAAGAGAGAAGTCTGGTCCAGGGGTCCAGCAAAAGCTCTTCCCCTCTGGCATCAAGACTTTGCTGGGGTGGGTCCCCTCAGGGTGCAGGGAAGCCATGCGCCCTCACAAACTCTGTCTCTATCCCAAGGCTGGCACAAGCGCGGCCTTTGTGCTGCTGGGGCCTCTCCCCAATGCTCCAGGCTGCAATGGGCGTAGAGCCAGACCTGCGGAGTGGCACCTGGGTGGTCCTGGTGGGCTCCCTATAGGCCTCATTGAGCACCCCGCAGCCCAAATATTTAACCTATGGCTTGAACCAAAGTCCCTTCCCTTTTTTATCGCTTCTTCTCTTCGACCGCGGACGGGTAGAACTAGAACGGCCCCTTCCTTCGGTTCATTTCATTCAACCTGCCCTGCTTTGGGCTCTTTACTACCTTGCCCCTTAACGCTCCCTGCTGTGGGGACCGGCCTGTCCCCACTCCCAGGTCATCCCCAGAGCCCGCTGCAGTCCTAAGGGAAGGTGTGCGCAGGTGCCTGCAGCAACAGTGTGAGCAGACGGTGCGGATCCTGCACGCCAAGGTGGCCCAGAAATCCTACGGAAATGAGAAGCGGTAGGTCCCTCAGCGGCCCCTCCAAGGTCCCTGCAGCCCAACCTTCAGCCCTATGTGCCTGTTTAGTGCCTTTTAGAACCTGGGGAGGACTCAGGGCTCAGATATAGGCCAATCAGGGCCTTTTCCTTCAGGGGCCATTGGCCCCAACTTTGGTCTATAGCAGAACCTCCTTGTAAATCTATGGTCCCCACTCATTCACTCATTCATTCATTCTTTCATTCCTCAACTGCCTACTGAGTGCTTATCATGTGCCAGGCTCTCTGGCATTGCTGGGCACCAGACATTTGGCTGAACAAGACAGATACAGTCCCTGCCCTCATGGCATCTTCACTCTAGTGTGGCAGAGTGAAGTCCGCACAAAATCAGTGAACAAGATGCTTCCAGAATGTGATGAGAGCTAGAAGGAAACAGAACAGGGGAATGGGACAGAAAGTGAGGAGTGAGGGTGTACTTCAGCTAGCCAGGTAAGGTGGTAGAAAGGCCTTTTAAGGAGGTGACATCTGAACTGAGACTTGAATGTGAAAATGGAGCCAGACATGAGAAAATCTGGGGGAAGCGTGTTCCCATTAGAAGGAACAGAAAATGCAGAGACATAGGCACTGGACTAACTTGGCCTGTTCCAGGACAAAAGAAGTCAGAGTGGCTGGAATAAGAGAAGGAGAGGGGACATCGTAGGAAATAAATTTGGAGAGGTAAGCGGGGGCCAGATCATGTGAGGACTTTGAATTTAAACCACTGGAGAATTTTAAGATGAGTAACATATGTTAAAAAAATTTTTTTAAATGAAAACATTCTGGCTGCTGTGTGAAAAACAGGTTGAAGGGGGTAGGAGTGGAAGCAGAGAAACCAGTTGGAAGGCTGATGCAGTGGTCCAGGAAAAGAGATGGCAGCTGGGACTAAGGTGGAGGTGGTAAGAAGCCAATGGATTCTGGATGTGTTTTAAAGGTGGTGGATAGGACTTACTAATGGATTGAATGAGGAATGTGAGAAAGGGACGATTCGGATGTTAATGGGGTTCACAGAGAAGCCTAGGGAGGGCAGTGAGAAAGGTGGAGGGGGAATCAAAAAATTCTGTCGGGTTTTTGCTACCTTTGAGATGCCTACAGGACAGACAGTCAAGTGGAGATAGACATACGAGTTCAGCGCTTACGTGTCTCCGCAGGTTCTTCTGCCCCCCACCCTGTGTCTACCTCGCAGGTCCTGGCTGGAGGGTGAAGTCTCTGCAGGGCCAAGGTGAGGGTGGACTCCAGGGCTGCCGGATGCCTTCCTCTGTAGAGGGACCACTCAGTAGGGCCAGGGAGCGGGGCGGTTCTTCAATGCAGTCTCACCGCGCCCTCTGGCGGCGAGAACTAGGCTTGCCTGACACTCGAGTCGGTCCAGAGCCTGCTCGCGTCCCTTTCCAGCCCACCAGGGAGGGGAGACCGGGCCCACGGTGTGTGGTTACATGGGATTGGATGGCGCATCCAGCAGCGCCGCCGAGACGCAGAAGTTGAATTTCGAGGAGCAGCAGGACTCCAGGGTGAGAGCATGGGAGTGGGTCGGATTGCTGCTCCGATCCTTGCCTCTCCCTTGGAGAGTTGGGGCTCCTTTACTGCCCTGCCAAAAGATAGGTGGGGATGCCAAGAGACCGGCGTTCTGCCTTGAGGGTGAGCCAAGAGCTTGGGCATGCGGCTTCATGTCGCACCCGACGGGGCGGACGTCAGATAACTGGGGGAGGTGGGTTCATCCAGGAGCAGGGGGCTGGTATGAGAGGATCCCCATGCCCGGGAACCCCGTAGGAATTCGGTTGCGCCAAGACCCTGTACATCTCGGACGCAGACAAGAGGAAGCACTTCCGTTTGGTGCTGCGGCTAGTGCTCCGAGGGGGCCGGGAGCTGGGCACTTTCCATAGTCGCCTCATCAAGGTCATCTCGAAGCCCTCGCAGAAGAAGCAGTCGCTGAAAAACACCGACCGTGAGTGGGGCGGGGCCTGGCCGCGGGGCAGGTCGGGGAGGTGCCAGCAGGTCCGGAGCTGCTAGATTTGGGGGTGGGAGGTGGGGGCCTGGATTGTAAGGGTGGGGTTAGAGTGAGAGAGGTGGAGTCTGAGCCGAAAGAGGGGCGGAGTCTGGGTGAGTAGATCCGGCTTAAGTCTGGGAGTGAGAAGAGTTAGGCAGGAGCAGAGAAAAAGGGCAGATACCCGGCTTGAGGTTGGGGGCTCCCAAACGGCCGCCAGGTGCTGAACTGAAGACAGATTAAAAATGATAATAAAAGGGCAGAAGAAATTCAGTTAAAAATATGTATTCAGTGCCTGATGTATATGCAAGTGTCTATTGGAGGAACGCACAGCCCAGCAGAGAGAAACACACAGAGCTGATCAAAGAGACAGTTTGAGATAAGTACTGCCCTGGATGTTAAGTGACAAATCTCAGAGCTGGTGGCTTTGAAAATATCAGGGGGAAGAAAGCCTGAATGAGAATGACAATGCCACCGCTACCCTCGCTGGAAGGGGGGAAGGAGAAGGAGGGCAAGGGGGGCTTTCTCGGCAGGTGTGCACATACATCACCCTATCTGATGCTCACCAACCTTGTGAGGTGGGTGCTGTCATTGTTACTCATAGATGAGGAAAATGAGGTTTGGAATATTCATCCATTCACTTAAGAAATATTTGGGCCCCTTAGATTCCAGATGACTTGCCTAAGATTGCCCAGTTAGAAAGTGGCCCAGCCAGAATTTGAACTTGAGTCCATGTGAATTCGGAGCCCAGCTCCCACCCCTACACCATACTTACTTTCGGTCTGTTAAGAACCCTGAAGGGTGTCTCAGATCCAGGCAGTGCTCTGGCTGGCCTTGGTATCAGGAAAGGGCCAGGTAGGGGTAAGTGGCATAGTGTGATGGTTTTGAGCGCAGATTCTGGAACCAGGTGGCCTGCGTTGGAATCCTGGCTCTGCCATTGGCTAGCTGTGTGATCTTGAACCAGTTGCTCCTTTGAGTAGAGATAATATTATCTACCTCAGAGGGTTGAGAGAGGCAAAAGAACTAAGACACGTAAAGCATTTAAAACAGTCCCTGAAACACAATCCCCATTAACTATCATCATCATGTAACGGATGGGAACTTGGGGCATACACTGAGCCCTACAGTATGGCCTGCACTGTAAGGGGAGAGAGGGCAGGAACCCAGTGCGTTCTCCCCAGGGGGTCAAAGTCCACTTAGAAAACGAAATGGTGGCTCTGAGTCTGCACTACAGGCTGGGAGAGATCAGTGTCAAGCCCTAGGAATGTTACACTGCTGCTTCACACCACGTGGCCTCTGCTTATGCAGCCCCCTGAGGAACCCCTACCTACTTCCTGCTCCCCCGTGGAGGGTATAACCTCCTCCAGGAAGCCCTCCCGAGGCCAGCCCTCACCACATCATGTTGAAATTTTATACGTATTCCCTCTCTCCCCTCTGAGACTGTGAACTCCCTCCAGAGCGAAACTGGCTCTAACCTTTGGTACCCAGTACCCAGCACAGTGCCAGCCACCAAGTAGGCACTTAGTGACTACTTGATAAAATTCTGTTTATTGGGCTGCCCAGGGAGCAAAAAAGGACAAAGGTACAGAAGCAGGACTATAGCTGTGACGTATACGTGCCCAGTGTATCTAGGCCAGTGGGTATTTGAGCCAGATTGTCTCAGGGGGCAGAGGATGGGAAATTCTCTGGCACGTCCAAGGGACCAAGCCAGGCAGGGGCACTGATTCTGCCTCCCTTCACAGTGTGCATATCCTCGGGCTCAAAGGTCTCCCTCTTCAACCGCCTGAGATCCCAGACGGTCTCCACGCGCTACCTCTCTGTGGAGGACGGGGACTTTGTGGCCAGCGCGCGCCAGTGGGCTGCCTTCACTCTCCACCTGGGTAATCCCATCGGGAGGCCAGGGGCTGGGCCTCACGTGCATTCACTTGTTTCATCTTCGCCACAACTCCTCGAGGAAAATCAATTTTGCCCCATGGCACCAAGGCTCAGAAACAAAAACATTTGCAAAGGTCCCAGTGAGTCAGTGACTGATCCTAAACTAATCTGACTCCAGTCTCCAGCCCTGTCCTCATGCCAGGGGACAGACATTTGCAAGGATGGTCACAAGTGACTTCTCCGCTGAGAATCTACAGCCTTAACTGCCTTCCTGCATGCCAGCCCTGCCCATAAGACCCATGTGTGATGTGAGGAGCCAAAGGCAAGAAGGGTGGGATTTGGGCAGATGCTTGGGATGCCTGAAGCCTTCTCTTCCTTCTTTTTACCTCCAGCTGATGAACACTGTTCTCAGGGGGACTTCCCGCCTCGAGAGGGCTACGTCCGCTATGGCTCCCTGGTGCAGCTTGTCTGCACTGTCACAGGCATCACACTACCTCCAATGGTATGGGAAGGGAGGGTACACCTGGGGGGGCCCCAGGTCCTCCCATGCAGAAGGTGTGACCCACGAGGGCAGGGCTGAAGGGTGAGAACCCAAAGCATGATGACACCTATCCTTACTCGGGAAACTCAGTGCTTTGTGGGGCTGGATGGAGGCCAAGGGCTGGCATGGGGCGGGGGAGGGTATATACCAATGTCCCGCATGGCTGTTGGAGTAGCAGAAAGCTGGCGGAGGGCAGCCTGTGAGCACCCAGGCACCTTGCCGCCACACTTCCTTCCACTGTAGATCATCCGCAAAGTAGCCAAACAGTGCGCACTCCTCGACGTGGACGAGCCCATCTCCCAACTGCACAAGTGTGCATTCCAGTTTCCGGGTGGTCCTCCAGGAGGGGGTGGCACATACTTATGTCTCGCCACAGAGAAGGTGGTGCAGTTTCAGGTGAGAAGCAGAGAATTCCTGCCCCAAGCATCCCAGAAAGTCAGAACGCAGAGAACCCTAGACTGTAAGATCCTCATCGTGACTGCTACTTACTGAGCAATACTGCCTCACACAGAATGTTAGAACCATAGACTATCAAGACAAATGGGAACAAATACTAGTAATAGTATTGATCAATACGCCTTCTCAAAGAATATTAAAGTCAGAATATGCTGGGATATAAGATTGTAGAATGTAAATAAAAAGAATAATAAGGAATAGTATTGTGTTGTTGAACAAAGACTATTAGAATCATAGAATCTGAAGACAGAATTATAGAAGGTGGAAAATTATCGTTATTAAGCAATACTACCCCCCAGAGAATATTATCATAGGATGTTGAGATAAAATCATAACGTGTAGAAAATAGCATTGTTATTGAGCAATAATCCCTTCCAAAGAATTTTACAATGATAGAATGTTAGAGCATAGAATTGCACAATGTTTAAGGGGAAAAAAAAAGAATTCTAAGAAAATAGGCCTTTAGAAACCAGCTAGTCCAGCAAGCTTATTTAACTCTAAATAGGAGAACTTAAGGACCTTGTTCGAGCTCACCAGGCAGGTAAACTGCAGAGCTAGGACTGGAACGCTAGGAATGCGGAAGCCCCGGCCCTGTGCGGGCTGGTCCCGCTGATGGCCACCATCAGTAGCTTCTGTCTCATTCCCTCGGGTCTCCTCCCAGGCCTCCCCCTGCCCCAAGGAGGCGAACAGGGCGCTGCTCAATGACAGCTCCTGCTGGACCATCATCGGCACGGAGTCGGTGGAATTCTCCTTCAGCACCAGCCTGGCCTGCACCCGGGAGCCGGTCACTCCGGTGCCTCTCATTAGCACCCTCGAGGTGAATCCGGGCTCTAGGGGGCGCTGGCGGGCGTGGCTCCTGATTGCGCTGGCCCGGGGTGGGGGTGCCGGTGAGGGAGGGCTGCAGGTGCTCGGCCACCACTTCTCCCACACCCTCTGGTCTCACCCTCCCCCAGCTGAGTGGCGGGGGCGATGTGGCCACGCTGGAGCTCCACGGTGAGAACTTCCACGCCGGGCTCAAGGTGTGGTTCGGGGACGTGGAAGCCGAAACCATGTACAGGTATGGGGTGGGGGTGGGGGGCGCTTCCACGGATTCCAGGGAACAGAGCGGGTGCAGGGGAGGGTGGGGTATGCAGGCTATCAGCGTCCCTGCAGCCCTAACCTCGATGCCCGCCCCCAGGAGCCCGCGGTCCCTGGTGTGCGTGGTACCCGACGTGGCCGCCTTCGGCAGCGACTGGCGCTGGCTGCGCACACCCATCACCATACCCGTGAGCCTCGTGCGCGCCGACGGCCTCTTCTACCCCAGCGCCTTCTCCTTCACCTACACCCCCGAGTACAGCGCGCGGCCCGGCCCCCCGGGCGCCCCCGCGCCGGCCGCGGACGCCGACGCGCTCCTGGAGAGCATCCACCACGAGTTCACGCGCACCAACTTCCACCTCTTCATCCAGACGTAGTCAGCGCGGCCTGGACGCTGAGGCTGCCGCCGCTGAGGGGCGCGCCGGGGCCTAGCACCAGGGCCGGTTTTCTGGGTCCTAGGCCCTGCCCCCTGCCACTTTGCCGCGGAAGTGAAGCATGCAGCCAGAGCAGCAGCAGGCACTCGCCCTAGAAACCCAGCCCGGCGGATCTTACGGGTCTTTTTCAGCCTACGAAGACACGACCTGAGTGATGCTCCCTTTGTGACCAGTTAGGAATGTGGCTTTCCCTGTCTTTGCCTCTGTTTCATTCTCTAAATCAATCACACACACTCTCTCTCCCTCTAACTTTGTAGATCTCTCTTATTCCTACATCCCTATCCCTCCATCTTTCTCTTTCTCCTTCCATGTGTCTTGCATGCAGTTTCACACACCAGTGAAAAGCCAAGCCCAGGGCATCTACCCTCCAGGCAGCTGTGTCTCCCCTGGAAGAGAAAACACACAGTTTCACACACCCAAGTGTGGGGCACCGGCTCATGAGGTGTGGCCTGCTTGCTCTGAAGCACCAGGTCCTGCCTGGAATATGAGGTATGACCTACTGTGCCGGGTTCCACCTGGAGCTCCAGGTCCCTTCTGGAACACTGGATCCCACCCAAAGCACGGAGTCCCTCCTGGAGTGTGAAGGGCTTGCCCTGGAGTACTGGGTTCCACCCTGGAATACAAAGTTCTAACCCCTCCTTGGACTTCCTGTGGCTGCTGTGAAGCCCAGGACTTACACTGGTGTTTGCTTTCCTGCCCATAACTTTGGTGGCTGGGCAGGTGCCTGGGGCCGTGGCCAGGTCTTTCCATCTTAACTGAACAGAGCCAAATCTCTGGAAGGCCCAGTAAGATGCAGTCCTGAGGGTCTGAGATTACTCTCTTGTGCTAGCATCAACCTCTGTCCAAGGCAGCGCCTGATCTGTATGATGCAACTCACCACCAGGGGAGGTTCCCCAGGGTACTTCTACACAGACACACAGAGAAAGGACCACATGAGTGATGGAGCAGGGAGCTTACATTTCTGACCTCTTCTGGAGGAGGAAAGGGATTCAGATGCAGCCAGCATCCCTGAGCCCCCGTCCTTGCCCTGGAAGCCACCTGTTGCCTCTGAGGACTTTACCCTACTAGGCTTCTCTCCACCTCAAGCAAAGATGCACCTGAGGCCCAGGGCAACCACAGGATGCAAAACAAAACTTTCCCAGGACAACTCCAGGCAGAACTCTTGGGGCTGACTGGGCGATAACCCAGCAGAGAGAGGAGCTTTTGCATGGTGCTCAGGGACCAAATCCTAACCATCCCTGGCCAGCCTTCCCACCCTCAGCTGAATCCGTGCTCTACAGGGAGGGTCCTGGCTCCGGCTGTTGGAACTGTGGGCACAGATATTATAGGTGCCATGTCCCTGTACCAGCCCCTTGGGGTGCCAAATGGGGAAACCTGGTCTGAAAAGTGAGTTCAGAGTTCTCATCCCTCTGGGCCCGTCTTTGTACTCTTGAGTAAGTTCATTTCCTGTGAAACTCCTCCCCTAGCAAGTGGGAACCACGCCTCCCCACACTTTCTTGAGAAAGAAGAAAGTGACATTTCCCAAGGGAATGAAAAGGGGTTTGCTCTTTAAGCTCCTCAAAGTCTTGACTAAGTTCTGTCCTCAGCAGCCCAAAACCCACAATGTTGGGAAAAGAGAAGCTTGTTCAAAGCCCGTCATGACTCCTGAGAGTGGCTCCTGGCTGAGGAAGGCAGGGAACAAGTTGATGGGAAATGTCTCCGACAAGAGTGCCCGCCGCCAGGAGAGTTTGAGCTCACTGCCCCGTGACGCTGTTGAAGCGAGAAGCCACTTGTAAAGCGGCTAAGAGGAGTTTCATAACATGAGGAGTTGGGGGCTCAAGGGCCCTTCCTGCCCTCAAGAACTTCCTCCGCCACTCCACAAGGCAGCAGTCCCAGAAGCCAAGGACCCAGGCTGGCCAGAAAGCCCAGCCATGCAGCTCTTTTTTTTTTCCCCACACCCCTCAGGGCATCCCAGGACCCTTCATCTCACCTACATACCCACCTGAAAGTCTATGTCTTCTGATTTCCAGCTGCTGGGTTGGAGGTCTTCCCAGCCCCCAGGCTGAATCCATCCAACATCAAACTCCCCTCCTCCCTCCCTCCCTCCCTCCCTCTCTCTCTCCTTCCTCCTCTCCTCTTCCTCCACTACTGCTCTGCTCTCCAAACCCAGCTCTTCAAATCTTCTTTGAGATTTCCCCCAAGAAAATCTGGCTGCATAATTTGTGGGGCCCAGGGCAAAAAGGAAATGTATGACCCCCTTGTTAAAAAATCATTATGACTTTCAAGACAGCGATATCAGAGCATGAAATCAAGGCAGGGCCCCGCTAAGCACGGGGCTTTGTGTGACTCCCCAGATCACAAGGCCAAGAAGCCAGCCCTGGCCCCAGGATTCCCACCTCATATTCCCATAGAACCCCACCATGTACTGCCCACCGTGGATCAAAGGGCTTTCATGTACATGCCAGTTGTCCCATCTAGACTGTGAGTTTGGGGTGGAAAGGAGCTCGTCGCTGCGTGCCCTAGGAGGTGCATTACAATGCTCTGAACCTTGGTTGGCGCTCAATAAACAGCAAATTGCCTTGCACTGCCTTGGCAGGTATTTGGATTTTGCAAGTGCAAAGTGAAACCAGCAGGTGGCACTGTTCTCCTCCAAGAATTGGCGTTTTCATTTATAGTTAAACAGCTAGGGTCCTTAAAGATAATCTTAACTTCTTCATGCTCTCAGCATCAGAACCCTATTGGGTTGAGAATCATTGCTCTAGTCCATATTTCCTCCTCATTTTACAGATGGGGAAACAGGCTCTGAGAGAGAAGGTCCATGAAGCACTGAGAACAGGTTGATGGCAGAGCCAGATTTGAATGCTATACTTTTAATGCTAAGTCTGGGGGCTCTGAGATTCTTTTAATCTACATTATACTCTTTAACACTCTTCTTTCAGTTCCTCGCTAGGTGTAGGTAGAGTGTGTGTGGACTGGGGAAAAGCTGGTCTTCTGGTTTAAACATTGACTTTTGGGTTTCTCTCTCACTCTTCTGTTGAGTTTTCTCAACTTAAAAGAAACCCGTTATAACCACAGTGTGGCTAAAATTCTCAGACATCTTACTCTCTGGGGAGGATGCTGAGGGCACAGACTGTGAAGATGGCAGGGGAGAGGAAGTGGCTTTAAGTGTAATGAAACTAGTAAGACATATATACTAAGTTCTGCAAGGGTCAGCCTGACCATATACACCCATAAAGGCCCCTACCAGTTAGACTTGGCTCTGTTCCAGACCACAAGGGACAAAGGCAGGTAGGGCAGCTGAGCTACAATAACACTTTCAGTGGTAAAGTGGTAAACACCTGTTACAGCCAGCTGCTCGCCTCCCGGTTGGATAGGAGGGGCAGGTGACGTTCAGGAGGGAAGGCAGAGCCTTGTGACCAAGTTCTTTATGGACTCACTCTGGTTATAGAGTGTTAAGGTGGGGCCCACTCTGCCAAGCTCATCGCCAAGCCCCCATCTGGTTCAAAACATCCTCCTTCTGACCCTGCATCACTAGCACCTTATCCAGGGTCGGAATCTCTGTGCATGGCTGGTTTTGTCCATATACCCACAGACAGATGGTCCCCAAATGACCATAGTTCAACTTACGATTTTCCCACTTCACGCTGGTGCGAAAGCGATGTGCGTTCAGTGGAAACCGTACTTGGAATTTTGAATTTTGATATTTTTCCCGGGCCAGTGATATGCCGTCTGACCTTCTCTCCCAATCCTGGGCAGCGGTGGGGAGCCTCAGTTCCCGGCCAGCAGCCAGCCGCACGACTGATCTTGAGGGTGAAGAGTTGATACCCTTACAACCATGCTGCGCCCAGACAGCCACTCTGCTTCTCACTCTCAGTACAGCATCAATAAATTACGCGAGATGTTCAGCACTTCATTACAAACTAGGCTTTGTGTTAACGACTGCCTGACTGTAGGCGAACGTCAGTGTTCTGAGGACATTTAAGGTGGGCAGGGCTATGCAATGATGGTCGGGAGGTTAGGCGTATTAAATGCGTTTTCAAGCTAACTATGTTTTCAACTTATGGTGGGTTTATCTGGACATATCCTCCATTGTAAGTCAAGAAAGATCCAGATATACATACACTGTATGTATGTACATACATTGCCTTCTCCCCACACTCATATGTATTTTCAGAAGGCTTACCTTTAAATGAAGGAATGCGGATCAAATGGTGGCTTTTCAGACAACAGCCAAGCTGTATGGACTAGCTGGGTGAGTTTGGCAAGCTCAGGTCACCTAACCTCTCTGGGCCTCAGCTTCTTCTTCTGTAAGTGGGGAAAATAGTATTTGTTTCATAAGATGCCGTTAAGAATAAAATAATATATGTAAAGAAAGCACTTTCAACACTGGCCCAGAGTTAACCAATTTCTATGGGCTTTTGCTGCCACTGTTACTCCAGAAGCACTTTCAGAGATGATCCAGTACCGCAGTCTTCCTCCCATTTCAGTGAGGAATTTGATGGTCCAGCAAAGGTACGTGGCCCTCCTGTATTGGTTTTCTGTGTTACATAACTAATTACCACAAACATAGCTGGTTAAAACAACACCGTTTATTGTCCCAAAGTTTCCGTGGGTTAGGAGTCCACAGTTTAGCTGGGTCTTCTGCTGAGGGGCTCCCAAGATTGTCATCAAGGTGTAAGCCAGGGAGGGCTGCAGTCTCCCTTGAGCACAGGGTCCTTTGCCAACTTCATGTGGTTGTTGGCAAAATCCATGTCCTTGTAGCTGCAGAACTCATGGCAGCTTGTGTCTTCAGGGCCAACAGGAGAGCATCACTCTTATCAGGAAGGTTCCAGATCCCTGTCTCCATATTTTCAACTGATTAAGCCTGGCCCAACCAGGATACTCTCCCTTGTAATTAATTCAAAACCCAGCTAATGTGGGACCTTGATTACCTCTGCAACATCCCTTCAACTATGCCGTCTCAGGTAACCTTACCATGGGAGTGACATCCATTCATCATACTGACAGGTCCCATTCACAATCAAGGGGACGAAATATATGGGAAGTCTGCACCACGGAGCAGACAACTTGGGGGCCATCTTAGAATTCTGACTATCCCACTCTCCGAAGCCACATAGCAAACTATTGGCAAGGAGGACATCTCTGGCCTGTAGGCATCCCCGTGCCCAATGGAGGAATTGCCCCATATAGGGACAGTGCTTCTGCTGCCTCAGAATTGGCAGGATCATGAACAAAACTGTCATTGCAACTAGTTCCCATTGGTCACACCAGTCAGCTTTCATTGTGAGGGAGGACTACAGAAGGGCAGGAATCCCCGGGGGCAAGACTCCTTAGAAGCCATCTTAAAGGCTGGTTACTGTCACCCCATTGCTGGTCAACTCTGAACAGGGGTTAATGTATCTGGAGAGCTAACTCCGAGTGGAACTTGGGGTAACATTATTTCTGAGAATTGGGCAGGGGATGCAAAATGGTTTTGGGCAATATTGGTCAAGCAGGTGACGTGAGTGAAGCAGGTGGACAGACTGTGGCAAAGCAGAGAACTTGCCTCCTGATGGGGACCCGCCTGTCTGCAACTCCCAGTGGTGGCCATGCAGCCTGAGAGCTGTCAGAGCTTGACTCCACCCCTCTTAAGAAAAGTGGCGAATCCAGATTTTTGTGGGAAACATCCTTATTTCCATAGCTGGCAACGAATCCAAGGATTTTTGTTTGTTTTCGAAACACAGTGCCGCCTAAACAAAACTCCGAGGTGGTCACGACATGCCCCACAGGCCACCGTGTGCATGTCCTGACTTCCCTTCCTCCTTCCCGGGCTCTTTCTTGGCTTCTGACATCTCTATCTCCATCTGGCAGCAATTATCCCAGGCTCCACTAAGATCAAGGGAAAGATGACATCTTACGAACTTTGAAATGATAGAGGCAGGCGATCTAGAAAGTACCAGGTTTTATTGCTTTTATCAAAAAATCAGTAACAGACAACAGTGTGAGGTGCTCGCTCCCAACATGGCCAGAGGAACAGGACACTGGGGGAGGAGGAGGACCCAGCCAGCTGGGACCCTGGGTTGCGGTAGTAAAAGGTGAAGGAAGCAAGGGTAGGTTCCCCCAACCCCCACCCCAACGAATGGGGTCAGGAAGAGACGTGGCCTGCCCAGGCTAAGCCCCTAGGCCTCTCCTCTCTGGAGAGGAAGGGTCACAGATAAGAGGCTTCAGAGCCAGGGCCTGACCAGCCCTCCCCCATCCCCCTTTGTCCAAGGAGACAAAGGTTGTCCCAGCAAAGCTGGGGCTGTGACTTGTTAAACCAGTTTAGTTTTCTGGCTATGCTGTCCAACAGAGGCCAGTGGGCTCCACCTGCATGTTTGGTACAGCAGCCACCAGCTACACGTGGCCGCTGAGCACTTGAAATGCAGTTAGCATAACTGAGGAATGATTGGTTCAGTTTGTGTAATTTTAATTGATTTCAATAGCCCCACATGGCTAGGGGTCACTGTACTGGAGAGCGCAGCTCTCCAATTTTCTCTTCAATTTGTAGACAGCAAATAAAGGAACCCCAGCTGAGCTCAAAGCAAAAGCTAGAAAGGTTTCCGGCCCAATCAGGAGAGGAAGGCACCAGGAATAGGACATGAGAAAGAGGTAAAGATCCACTCAGTCACACAAAAATCCACTCACGCAACCATCCAGCTTGACTTCAAACGGGAATATCATATCACACTATTTCCTGAAAAAATATATTTATCTATTTTTCTAGAACCAAGGAAGAATAATAATATATTACATGAAAAGAGACACAAATATCCCACCATCCCCTACCTTATATTTTGGGATCTGCTAGAAAACTATGTTTCAGCAAAAGCTTCTTAGAGGAAGCAGCTTCAGAAAGGGCCAAGGTCATGAGCAGGGGAGTAGGAAGAATAAAAAGGAACCCCCCAAAATGGGGAGAGGATTTAAAGAAAAAGAGGCAAGAAGGAAGGAGAGGCCCTGTCTGAAGCTATAAATAGTAAAAAAAAAAAAAAAAAAAATTAATAAAAATTATATCTCCAACTCTTCTCTCATTTTCGAGTAATAAAAACAAACAAACAAAAAACCCATTAAATACAAACCTAGCAGGTTACTGTGGAAATGTGCAAGAGAACAGAGAACGCCTTGGTATCTGTGCACCCTTGCCCAGGTAGAGAGGCTCTGTACAAAGGAATGAACCCTTAAAAAAAAAATACCCTACTAAAAATAGACTTATGAATATTCTACAAGTCTCTTTCACGATGAACTTTCAGCTCTTCTCCCCACCTCCCCGAATGAAAAAGGCTGATTTCCAAAAGTCACTTGGAAGAGCCTAGAATGGCCCAAGGGTGTACAAGAGACTCCCACAGTGTGGTTGCAGGTGCCCTGTGACGGACACATCTCAAGGTGCAGATAGATAGTTCTGGTTCCTTTTCCCGGCTCCTGGCAGAGGGGCAGGCTGTGGAGGGGAGGGAGGGAAGAAAGGAGGGAGGCCATCTGGAGCCCAGCCTCCAGCAGGATTCATACAATAGCTTAGAAAGGCTCTGGGTGAGGCCTGCCTATTCAGTATAGACTCTAAGCTGGGCCTTGATTCTAAACCGGAAGATGAAGAAACAATCCAATCCCAGACTTGCC